TCAAAAAGGTTAGTGGGAGTAATAAAAGACTGTGAAGTTGCTCACAACCACAAAATAGTAAGTTCAACTTGTAGAACATTAGTTTTAAAGACATAATGATTTGTGTTAGCAATAGTTGCATGTTATGATAAAAGGATATCCAAGTTGCATTTTACAACACATACAAATATCATATCCAAATAAGATATAATTTTAAACTCTATATCCAAATATCATAAGAGAGTATACAAGAAACTTGAATCTAATTTGGATTCATGCATTTTGATTTGAAAAATTAAAGTGTTTGATTTTATTAAAATCATTAGATGTCTCGTGTATTTAGTTTCTTGAGTGGGAGAGTTGAGTTTATTTTCTGTTACTTTATGTGTGACATAATGTATAAAAAGAAAACAAACACCTTGATTTCATAGTTTAATTATCATTGAGTTATTTATTAACTTAAGAGTTAAGAAAAGTAATTTAGACTTTAGAAGTCATAATCTATGTGAATAGATCATAAATATTACTTGGTCTATGTAATACTAAAGTTGTTTAGTATGTACTTGTTGTACAACTATTTCCTTATAGTTTCACTATTGGATCTAGTTTGCTCGCAGACATAAGTACTAGACCTTAGCCATCATGATCTAAGCGTTTAAAACATATTGAATAACTAATAGTGAAAGTTACTAAATGATACTCGGGAATTTAGATATTCTCATATGCCTGATCGTAGATCTATACATGTGTTAATCTATCTTTTGAAGATGATAACAATTTGCATGTGTTTACCACTTAATAATAGTATTAAATGTTGGAAGTGTTCCAAGTATAATATTATATTGTAGTTACAATTTGTGCCATTACATCAAAGTTTCTAAAAGAGTTTAGCACTTTTGGATCAAGGAGTTCTTTATTGAATTTCAGTTCTTTCCATCATTTAGAAAATCCTGTCTCATCAATGATCCAATGATGTATGTGGTTTTGTCATTTGATATTTGATCAATGATTCAAGATATAAATCCTAGTTGAATAAATTTTCTCTCATGGTAAATGTGTTTACAGTTGGTTTTAGTCCAAGTGGGAGATTTTTATTCAATATATGGACAAAAACCAATTAATTTTGGTATTTCTTTATATTTATGCAATATGGACATATAGATCTTTATCATTGATTTTACTTGTTTAATACATAAATGAATGGTAAAATCCTTAGAATGACATTCGTATAGAAGAAATCATAAGAATTATGATAATGAGATTCTTCATATATTTAGATATTATTCTTAAACGATCCCTAGTCATAGTATTAACAAGATGGGATATTGTTAATAAGGATAGACTAGCACATGTTATGCTTACTCTTAAAGTAAGAGTTAGTTGATCTTGTTGACTATTGTGTGGCGACACAAAAGCAAATATGTGGATACTTGTTTGAGAACAAGTACATTGGATTGACCTGCTTAGAGATTTTCATAAGGTAATCTATTTGAGTGCTAATGGAAATAACCTCTACATGATGGTAGTGTAATTGATCCTTCGACTTGAGATTAAAAGAGTCTCCGGAGTGTGGATTACTATGTTCTAACTCTTTTGGTCTTTAACCTTAGTTGGTTATGTGTACTTTTAGAGTTGAGTATAATATGAAACATGGAAGGAAGTTTATGATCAATAAAGGATTCACCACTTCTAATAAAGAAGAGTTTATCCTTTCATGGCCACTTGTTGGAATTGTAACTCGGAAATGTTTGTGCAAACTAGAAGTGATTTTAGAAATTGTTCTAATTTCAACTTCAAATGAGTTATATTTTTGGAACAAGTAAATTGATTAGTTTATAAAGAGTTAGCACTTATCCTTATTCTCGAACTAATTTAGATATATGATGGTGAAAGGATAATAATTACACGGAATCTGTGCATGGAAAGGTGAAGTCGATCACATGACTTTTCCTGACACTTGGGTGGTCATGATCCCTGGCTAGAGGCCAATCTTGATCTATAAATATAAATTTTAATTTTAAAATTCTAATGGCTAATTGTCTTTAGTCCAAGTGGGAGTTTGTTGGTTTTAAGTCCAAAAGCCAATTAATACTTGAATTAGAATTTATATTTATTGCCAACGTGTTTAGGAACCTAAAGGGTCACATACAATAAGACAATTAATTGGGATAAGTTAGGGATTAATTTATATGACAAATTAATCACAAGGACTTATTAAATAAATAAGATATGTGCTTTATGGTAATTACCGAGACCCATAGTCTTATCTCTATTCTTATAAAAGAACCACCTCCAATTATATTCTAATATTTTGATTGGTTCAAAAGCTTTTGATGACATCAGTTTTTTTAAAAGAGGTTATAATCGTCATTACTTAATTATAATGGTTTTTAAATTTTCTCTATTCTTATAAAAGAACCACTTCCAATTATATTCCAATATTTTGATTGGAGTCCGTATCGAGTGCACCCGAGTGTACCTTATACCCCCCTCCCCCCCCCTCCCACCAAACACACGCGCAACACGCGCTCAACTATTTTCACCTTTACATTAAATGCACAAACAAAATTGTTTTCATCCATTTCATCCTCACGCACAAACACACACAAACACATAGTCGATGGAAACTCTTCATTTTAGGGCAAATACAAAATCGACCACCACCACAAAATTACAGAAAGTCGACGGAAAACGTCCCCTGGAAGACGATTTTGATAATTTCATCTTCTCTCTGCGTTTTTTCATTTTGTCAGTCTGTTCTTTCACAAACACACACACACACACACACACACACACACACACACATACAGATGATGGCGAGAAACCCTACCTCCGGCCATCTCAAGCTCTCCTTCATCTACATATGCTTCACTCATAAGTATATTACTCCGGGATCCTATTTTTTTGATTATCCAGCAATATTTTGTGTTTATCCACTAGATCTGAACTGGTTATCCATGTTTTCCTGCGTATGCTATGTGATGGTTGTCCATGCCATAATTGCTGGTTATCCACCCATTTCATACTGGTTATCCACCCATTTTATACTGGTTATCCACAAGTTGTAAACTTGTTATTCACAAGTTGTAAATTGGTTATCCAAAAGGTGTAAACTGGTTATCCACAAGTTGTAAACTGGTTATCCATGCTTTTTTTACATTTGATTCTATGTGGCATGGAGAAACTGAACTGGTTATCCACTATATATCTGAACTGGTTATCCATTTTTCCTGCGTGTGTGCTATAGGGTGCTTGTCCAAACTTTGTTTGTGGTTATCCACCCATTTTATACTGGTTATCCGCAGGGTGTAAACTGGTTATCCATTGTTTTTTTAGATGTGTTTTTAAGTGGCTACTTGTCCATACATTATTTGCTAGTTATCCACCCATTTCATACTGGTTACTCCTTTTTTGATTACTGCTCCTTTTCATATCCTGCTATTTTGTCCACTGACTTCTTAGTGATTGTCCAATGCCAACAGTACCCTAAAGGAGCTTAGAACAAAACATAGGCACGGACAGCTCAGCGCAAGCCACGACCTTAACCGCAACCCAAATAGATCACCGGATCCTGAACCAGAGATAATGGAGCTCCCTGACGGAACACTGACAATATCAAAAAAATCAAAATCAACACAAGAAGAACAGTCCCCTAGTCAAAGTCCAAGGCCCTAAAACTTGTGGAGGAAACCAAAGAGAAAGAAGAGCACGCTTATAGGAAATTCAAAGCAACTTGTGGTCGCTGATGACAATGACTCCGCTGATGATAAGAAGCCCAAAAAGAAAAGAAGGAAACCTGAGAACAAACTGATGATTGGTCAAGATCCACAGCCAATCAGTTCTGAAGATTGTGTCAAGAAATTTGAGACCAGGATGACACCAAACCATCTCTTCCAACTCATCACTGAAATCAATAAACCAACAGATCTTACAAAAGAGCCAGATGCGGTAGATTATCGCCAACTACAAAGGCAGGCTATCAGAGATATGGGATTTGGCGCCTTGCTGGATCTCAAAATCAAAAATATACCAACAGCATTATGTAGCTTTATGGCAAACAATTTCCAGACCGGTGCAAGACAAGTCCCATTGAATGGCAACAATGTACTGGATATCAAACAGGAAGATGTTGTTGTTGTACTTGATCTTCCTCGTGGACCCAAACCAGTGGAAGAATTCAAACAGAAAAGATCTCACTATAACAGAGCACGCAGAGATGGTTGATGCATTCGAGAAATGAATGGGATACAATAATAAATTCCTGCCAACGAGATCCACGGCGGCACAATTAATTGCTAGTCAAAAAGATTATGGTGATGACTTCAAACGAGATTTCCTGGTCTTCATTGTGAGCACATTCCTACATAGAAACACCACCTCCAGAATCACTATGAATATCCTGAAGTCCCTTGTGAACATGAATGAGGTGATAGAATACAATTGGTGTGAATATGTGATTGATGCACTGGTCAAAGGATGCAAAAGTCACCACGATGGGAAACCATTCACCGGAACGATCACCTTTTTTCTGGTACTTACCATATCCATACAAATTTTACTATTTATCCATATTGCTTGCAATGTTTTATCCAATTTGCTTGTACTGATATCATTAAAACCAACTTTTTTTCTTTTTTTCTTTTTTTGTTAGTTGTGCTACCTTGACAGGTGTGAGTATGAGAGAGTACATCCCAGGTCATTCCCTGTGATCAAATGTTGGGATCAAAAGATGTTGGACGACAGATTAAGACTTCAGGGAAGCAATTTCATAGATGTCCAGACACTTGAACGTCTCAAGAAACCATCCTCAGCAGCATGCCGAGAAGAACACCGAGAGGGAGAATCACAGAAGGAGGATAAACAGGCCAACCCCAACACACAGTAAGTCTATGTAGTGTTCTACTATTTTTTTTCAGATTAGACCTACGTATCCAACCTAGATCTCCACATTCCACTCAGTACATTCACTTTTGCAGGACCTTGCTGCACTTTATGAAAAGTTCTACCGATTGATTATCACGATGAGCAAAACTGTTTTAGACATACATGAAAAGGAAATGGAGTTAAAAATTGAACCAGATGAACAAGCAAAGCACACAATCAAGATCCTAACAGATGCAATGGTGTCGATGAGTAGAAACCTGCCTCCGCCTCCAGGGACAACGCAACACCAACAAGAGCAGCAGCAAGACCCACAACATCCAGAGGACCAACAGCATCAACAGGAGCAAGAACAACGCCGAGAAGTAGACCTCCAGGATGCACAAATTTGTGAATTGTGCGAGATGGCATGGAAGGCCGCTGAAAGCAGGTTTGCAACAATAATAGAACAGCTGCAACGACAAGTAGTTGACCAACAACAACAACACCAACAAACTTGTGACAACACTGTACAAGCTCCAATTGATCCCACAAATTTTCAAGACATTGAAATTGACAAAGCACAGGGACATGAGTAATTTAGTGAGACAAATGATGAGGATTCTCTTCCAGTATGGAAATCCGTGCCTACTTCAAAAGAAGTAGTTGTTGATGAATAACAAACTCAACCACAAGGTAATGAATATTTTTGCCATACATTTCTTACTGCTTATAAAAAAATAAAAAAATAAAAACCAATGTCCACCTCGTTCGTACTCGTTATCCAACCGGTTTTTTTTTTCTCTTGAGAAAAATGTTTGTCCAATTAATGTGTTCTTACTGATTGTCCAACCCCGTGCTATTGTTTCTCCAGTTTTTTTTAATGAAAAAAATACTTGTCCGATGTGATTGTACTTGTCATCCAACTAATTTGTACTGCTTATCCAACCCTTTTTTCCCTTTAAATGGTTATCTATTGTGTTCTTGCCGATTATCCGGCCTGTTTGAACTGATTATCCACTTTGTTTGAACTGGTTATCCAATGTGTCCAATATATATGTATGTTCGTACTGATTATCCAACATTCCAACTTTGTACTGCAACACATGGAATGAATATCTCCAACACATCCCATCAAGATTCCACCGGCCAGGATTCAGGTGTGACATCCACCTATACTAGAAGGACGAGAAGCACTGGTACCAGGAAAATGAAAGTATTCAAAGACTCAACTATCCCACACTTTGGCCTGGGTAACATCTCCAGTCAGGAAGACAGTAACGAGACAACCCAGGAGAAGAACACTGAGGAAGATATCACAAGAAGTGTCGATTTGGATAAGGATATCGATGAGACTATCGAAGCAGAAGAATATTCAGTACCATCTGCACTCGACGAAACAAAGAATCCCACTCTTTCCATCGATGAAATCATAAGAAGGGCCAGTGCACCAGCTTCAAAATCATTAAGTGATACCAAAAAACTAGAGATTATTGCCGCTGTTGCAGAACAAGTTGAGAAGAACTCAAACGTGGTTGAAGCAGTCCCTATAAGCATAATTCCACCCGATTGGAATATTGCTTCTACCATGGATGGTTTACTGATGCTGGAGAAAAATGAGTGTACCACGCCACCACCTGCAATCTCAAAGGAAGCTGATGAGCTTGATGAAGAGTTAACAAAGACAGTGGAAAAGTAAGTTTGATCCACTGTGACTCCCCACTACATTTTAGAAAGACGAATTTACATACTAACTCTCTTTTGTTTTATCCTAGGATCCTCAATGAAAAACTTAAGAGGAGAAATCCAGCAAGAGTCCGCCGGTTGCCTGAACGGTTTAGGTCGCCATTCATGCTCCAGAAGAAGAACAAGAAAAAATTCATACAGTGGACAGGGGAGAAGAAGAAAATGACCCAAGAAGAAGTCTTGTTGATAGACTTCGCTCTATTACAAAGAGAAGAAGAAATAGTTAAATCAGGGTAAAAGTCACCATCCTTACCCGTGGGATAAAAAACTTACCAATGTTCCAACTATTTGTCTATTTGACTACTTTTTCTATGCAGGAAACTCTTGTTTGAATTTGGAAAAATAGTTTGGGCAGACAGGACAAAATTCTATTCCATGAGGGAAGGGGCGTGGATAGAAAACAACATCATAGATGCTTGGGTTGTCATCCTTAACAAAGAAGAAGCTAAGAGTGACTCCCCAACACGGATATTCTTTGGTGTTTCGTCATTTGTAAGTCAACTAAACCCTTATTGTTTATCCCGCCCTGGTAAAATACTTGTCACATGTCTGCAAGTTTTTTATCCATATGTTTGTACTTATTATCCAATTTATTACTAATGCTTGTCCACCAGAGTTGAACTGGTTATCCAAGCCTTCTTGTTATGCATTTTGCTATGGGATTGTTTTCGCCTCCCTTCTATGTGGTGGTTTGTCCATGATTCATTTGCTGGTTATCCATCTGTTCTATACTACTTATTCACAAGATCTGAACTGGTTAACCATTTCTTCTTGTGTGTCATCTAGGGTACTTTTGGTTGACCTTGTATGTGCTTGATTCCGATCATTGTTTTCTACTGCATTTTCCAACCATTGTACTGATCATTGTATCATTTTCCAACCATCTCAAACAATAACGCAGGATAAAATCAGTCGCTACTATGAACAAGGCTGTAACAAAGACAAAATGGAGTTCACATTTTATGAGAGGCTGGCTCTTGAACTGGAAGAACAAGGCCTTACTGTAGCATCACTGTTAGCAGCAAAAGCTGTAACCAATATCTTTCACCCCCTTCACTCTTTCTAAAACTGGCTGTTAAAAAATTTTCATATGATTTCCCCCTTCAATGTGAAATATCATATCTACTTCCAAGTATACTACCGAGAGCATTACTCTCTTTATGTGTTGCTAGTTGAAGAAATGAAAGTGCTTGCATTCAACAATCTTCATGCAAAAGATCTGGACTACTACAACCCAACGAAAGATCTACTTGTGAGTGAAAAAAAGATACAAAATGATTGTCATATTTTAAGAATTATCCATTGCATTTTGCTGATCCCTAGATTTTATGGCATCACAGTTTTGGTTCTTCAAAAGCTACATTGCATGCGTGTTTCCATGCATAGAACTGGTCAGTACTCAATACACCTTCACAGAGATTAAGCTACCATTGCATAAGGACAAAACGCCGAATGGAGAAGATTGTGGAATATACACAATGCATCACATGGAGCGGTATGATTGTGGTGAGTACGAGGATGGTACTACTTTGGATTTCAACACAGGAAACATCAAAGACTACAGGTGGAAAAACATGATAAGAATCCTAATGTACCCAGATCATGTTGATTTGAGCAGTGAATCTTACTACAATGACAGAAAAAATGATGGATGGGTTAAATGAACTGTCATTATGTTCTCTTGTATAATTGATTGACTGTCTAGTATATTATCCAACCGTTTGTAATGGTTATCCAGGATCTTTGTACTAGTTATCTAACTTGTTTACACCTGATTATCCCAATGTTTTATAGTGATTATCCAGTAAAAAAATGCAATTCCAGTCTTTAACTTGATTATCCATGAGTTTATATTTGTTATCCAAAACCTCAATATTGTTTATCCATATGTAACCAATGCCTATCCACCATGTGGACATAACAAAACAAGGATTCAGACAAAAAAGACATAACAAAAGTCCCCGATTGGTAAAAGTAATTCAGTAATTCATCTCGTTGTCCAAATATTTCTGTAAATTCCCAAAAAAACAAAAACTGAGTGCCCCAATTTCTTGGTCTTTCTACTTCTTTGTTAAACTGCTTATCCTATGATGTGATACTGCTTATCCATTATTTCTTTGCTGATTATCCAATGCTCTGTATTGATTATCCAGGAATTTTGTACTGGTTATCCAGCCAATGTGCAGAATAAATTATGCATCAAATTAACTCAGGTTCCATAAATTAACATAGATTAGAAATAACATAAACTAAAACAGCAATAATCCATCAAAGTACCTCTGAGACTACAAAAAAGGCTATCCAACCCCTCGCCGATTATCACCGCCGACAGGAGAGTCTATTAATTAAAGAAGCAAACGACATGTTAATTTGGGGGGCTTCGCCCCCCATGATAAACTAAACGACTCCCGCGGCTACTAGAATCGCAGGTCACCAACCTGCCCCGGGTGCGCCGCCTTGCCGAACACGCCAATGTAGCTAAGGTAATCCTTCTTTTCGTGTGTGTGTAAGGAGAGTGTGTTATTGTGTTATGAAGGGACACAAATTACTTGTATAAATTCCCCCGTGATAAACTAAATAACCCGGTTGCGCCGGTTCCCGCGGCTGTGCCGCCTTTCGTGGCTGTGCCGCCCCCATGCCGAACATGAAAAATTTCATAAATAGTATTTAATTAAATGAGGGGCAGTTTGCCAAATGATGGAGAACAAAAAATGAATGAGGAGCAGCTGGATAACCAGTGTAAAAAATACGGACAAGGATATCCAAGAAAAATATAAAAGGAAAAAAATGATAGTCCACGTTGTCAACACTAATTATCCAACAGGTTAATAATGGTTATCCGGTCATTTTCTAATGACTTTGAAACTGGTTTGCACTGGTTATCCAAAATGGTTATCAGTACTTTCCCAATGTGTTAGTACTGATTATCCAAACGGTTTGTAATGCTTATTGAATTTTTACTTTGTTTTTATTCTTTATGAAAAATGTTTGTCCATAGTCTCAACACTGGTTATCCAGCTGTGTTTAACTGATTATTCATAGTGTGCACACTCATTATCCATAGTGTCAATACTGGTTATCCACAGTGTGGAGCATGTTACTGTGTATAACTGAAAAGCCACACGTTTTGTAATTAAATAGAATTTAAACGATTGAGGGAGTAAAAATAAAAAAAGAAAACTGAAAAGGCCGATGTTTGTGCAGAGTGCATCATGCTCTAATGGGTAGTTACAGAGCCACACGTTTTTACATGGAATGGATTGAATAAGTATCAGTTACATAACTGTCATTAAATGAGTTTCTTGATTATCACAATGACAGTTAATGAATAGAGAGTGAGAAGATACTGATTTATGCAAAAAGAGAGGACTGCATGGGTAGTTAATCCGTCAAACTACCTCTGTCAATATCAAAAAAAAAAAACTACCTGCAAAGTCTCTATAAAACTCCCTGACATCTCCACATACAGCATTTCTATAAAACTCCCTCATCTGCACATACACCAGAACGCCTGATTTGAGCATCCAAAACATCCAACAGTCAGAAAAAAATAAAAAACGAAAAAATTTCCTCAAATTCCACAACCAAACAAATGTCCCCCAGGCAAGCAAAGCAAGAAAAGAACAACTACCCTGAATATATCCATCACGAAATACTTGATAATATGTTCATTAATCTTACATTAGAAAAAATTGGTGAGTTCCGTCGTGTCAGCAAAGCTTGGGAGCAAATGACGAAAAGACAAGAATTTGTTCTTAAAAAACGTGAGATGAGCTACCCTGCAACTGAAAACAACATCCTTGTTTTCACTCAAACAAGCCAAGAAGGTCACCTGCTGCAAGACAAACTAATCGCCACCAACATAAAAGTGCAACTAGATAACCCATGCAACCACATACGATTGCAAGAAGAGATATCGATGGGTGACGACGGCATCCATAAAATCATGCCTGTCACCACAGATTTGGTCTGTCTGCAAACCAGGTCTCAAATCAAATTCTTGAACCCACAGACAACACAAATTGCATCAATTGAATGGCCATATGATGTCCCTCTCAGCAATTGTGAAACAGCATTTGGGTACTATCATCCTCAAAAACTTATGTTTTCATGGCCCTTATTGCCGATGGAAAAAACATGCAAGGCTGCATTTTTTCTTTTCAAAGTTGTTCAAGTATTCATAGAGGGGAATGGAAAACACTTTGCAATGTATGTCCTCGCCTTGTATCTGATGGAACCTGGTTTGATAGATTCGTGTACTGGCGTGTAGACAAACTATCCTCTGAAATAGCAACACCTCAAGAGTAGCTGATCGTGTTTGACTACCACACTCAACAATTTCAAACCATAAACTGCCCTCCATCTCCAATCTTCTTTAACCCCACTGATCCTTATCATATGAATCTCCAAGTGAAAATATTGGACTTCCAGGTGACTTTGTGTGTAATAGATGAGTACCACATTACTCAGAATCATCACTGTCAGATGTGGGCATGGGATCCAGATACTTCCACATGGGATTGCATATTCGAGACCCATGAATTCCCAAATGTGAACACACACGTTCCACACGGATTACAGTTCCGCCATGATTGGCTTTATCCAGTGTTTCTAAGCCACAAATCATCTCCAGCGGGACAGTTCATTGTCAAAGGATACGATAATCAACATTTGTTGTTGTATAGTGTTCCTACCAGGAAAATTACACACTCAAGTACATCGCCGGATCTAGAAACCAGTTTCATCATTACAGCATGTTACTTCTGGGAGATATTAACACACTTCTAGGATTTTTTTTTTTAAAAAAAATTATCTTTCCCTTGTTAACTTATTACTGAAAATAATTGTCCATTGATCTTATACTGGTTATCCTAGGACTTTGTACTAATTATCCACATTATCTATGCTGGTTATCCAATGATATTATTTGTGAAGAAAGCGTGTTCAACGTGTTCATGTCTTTTTTGTAATATCTATATGCATTTAAAGTTGTATATCTGGTACATGCGAGTTGGATATCCAGTATAGACGAGTTGGATATCCAGTACAAACGAAATGGATATCCAGTACAAACAAGTGGGATATTCAGTATAAACAAGTTCGATAGGCATACAAACCAAATGGGTGGATATCCAGTACAAACAAGTTGGATAACCAGTTCAAACTGGTTGGATAATCAGCATGAACACAACGGATAACTAATTTAAAATAACCACTTGGATAACTAGTACAAACAAAATGGATAACCAGTTCAAACTGGTTGGATAATACTACAATTTAAAATAAATAATACTTTTTAAATAAAAATCCTTACACCATCAATACTGTTCATTTCAACATCAAATAAAAATACTAATAAAACATCTTGTTGAAGAAACGATGTGCTCCAGCCTCCCGGGTAGCTTCCCTTCAGTTAGGAAATGAGAACCCACCAAAGTTTTGATTCATGAATGTCATGTTTTGATGAGAAGCATTCACAGCAATGGAAGTGCTTGCGCCTTGAAACTCCTGGCCAGCTCCCTTGGGAATTGGAAATGAGAATCCACCGGAATTTTCGTTGATGAATGGCATGCTTTGATGAGAAGCATTCACAGAAATGGAAGCCCCTGCCCCTAAAAAATCCTGGGCAGCTACACTTGGATTAGTAAATGAGAATCCACCAGAATTTACGTTCAAAGATGGCATGCTTTGATGGGAAGCATTCACAGCAGCTAAACTTCCTGAGCCTAAAAAATCTTGAGCAGCTCCCTTTGGATAAGGAAATGGCGTGCTTTGATAATGCAGGTCTGATGCAACTGAAGCTCTTGTTCGGTCAGCAGCAATTCTTGCATTTGTTTTCCTGCCTCTAACTTTGTTACATGCCTTCTCAACAATGCTTTTAGGACATTTGTTCCTGGGACCAAACTTCTTCCTCTTTATAGCTGGATTCTTTATAACACTATCATTGTCTACAGACTCATCGTTATTATTCGAACCAATGAAACTCTCGAATTCTTCTTTAAGCCTGTCAACCGCCTCGTCACAATATTTCTTTGCATCTTTGTTATATTCACTTGCATACACTAGGTCTGAAAATCGTCTCATAATTAGCGCCTTCCACAGCAATGGCCCAGCAGCTTTTCCATCTCCCTCATTAGCTATGCTTGACCTGGCACCATAACCTTTTGTCCATCTCATACATATATAATCTTTAGGAAACTCATCAACGGAGGTTAAATGACAGATTCGAAGAATGTGGCAACAAAGCATGCCCGCCTCAGAGTAGTACCTGAATGTGCATGAGAATCTCTGTAACCTAGTGTCATGTACAACCACATGCTTAAAGTGCTCTATCCCAAACCGCCAAACATTGTACGTCACAATATTGCCATCATTTGAGACCTCTAACTGCTCCTGCCTGCACAACATCCCATCTTTGTGCAACTGCTGAACCTCCCTAAATGCTTCAACTGTGTACACTCTGCGAATGCTCTTCAGGAAAGGGTCACCAGGAAGATATGAATCGATGTTTCCCTGGCTACAGCGTAGATCTTCACCCCTCACAGCTACCCGCCAACAGTGTACAACATCAGAGAAAATTCCATGAAAATCACAAAGCGATGATGTGGCCTTCATTTTACGATAAATTGCATTATTTGTTGACTCGCTCCTCTGTGAAGGCAAGGTATCACCATAAAAAACATCTTGCTAAATGCAGGGCACCACATATGCCTCACATCATAAATACCATTGAGCCATTTGTCATCATGACAATCATACTCATCCAATAATCTGTGCACAACAATATAAAACACATGCATAAAAAGAAAAATAGTTAGATTATCCATATAGATCCACAAAGAAACATGTATATCCTTAGGCTTTCTACTGCTTATCCAGTAATTATTTACAGATTATCCAAAACCTGGTACTGTCTATCCATCAGTAACCCCTTTAAACCTCTGCAATAATTTCCTTATGCTTATACAAAGGCTTTCTACTAGTTATCCAGCCATAATTGCCGGTTATCCACAATGTGTAAACTAGTTATCCAGCCATAATTGCTGGTTATCCACAATGTGTAAACTAGTTATCCATGTCTTTTTTTAGTTTTGCTTCTATACGGCTGCTTGTCCATAAATTATTTGTTGGTTACCATTCATTGCTGTATAACTTACCTACCTATAAGTAATCATCAGGAAGATCATGCATGACCACTAACGCATACCCACACAACAAAAAAAAAATAAAATAAGAGACACTCTTAATCATAGCAATGATCAAAATAATAATAAAAATATTGACAAACTGACCTCCTCCATAATACCTCGAACTCGATTTCTGTTGAAGTGTATTTTATCAGATAATTAAAGTTCTTAACAAAATCTGGCTTGTTCCTTAAATGACCAATTTGCTTTCTTGAATTTTCACCTATGTGCCAAACACAGAGACGATGCCGAGAACTTGGAAAACATGTCCGAATACTTGCAACAATGGAAGGTGCTTGATCTGTCATTATGGTTTGTGGCTGCTTATCTCCCATTGATTTCAAAAACTGCTTGAACAACCAATCAAAAGACGGTTCTTTCTCGTTTAACACAAAACCACAACCAAACATGACATTCTTGTTATGATTATCCATACCCACAAACGGAGCACAGATCATTCCATATCTGTTTGTTCAATACGTCATATCAAACACAAGTAAGTCACCAAACAAATCATAATCCTTTCGCATTCTGTCATCCCTCCAGAAGAAAGTACACAGCCTACCCTGCTCATCACAGTCAAAATCAAAGAAGAAATCTTCTTCAGTTTCCTTCCTGTCACAAAAAATCTTCATCAGCTGATTACAATCGCCACCTTCAAATCCAACACCAGGACGCTCATAATTGTAGGCATCTATCAAAGTATACTTTATGTTCGAACTTCCCCTGTTTAATTTTGCCACAAACTTATATGCATCAACCAAAGGGATGCCACTCCTTGTCATGTCTCTGATTATCTTCATATCATTTTCATCTACTTCACGTTGAAATCGAAGAAGTCCAATAATTTCATTCGGCACAAGATCATGATTATGATCAACCAGATGCTTTGTACTGGTTCACAATCCATCTTTATCAACAGTAAAATGGATATAAGCTGGACACCCACACCGAAAATTTTTCCTCTCATGGCACACATCACCATTTCCACCGGATCTCTTGTATCCTTCACGGTTACAACAGAACTTCTTCATCCTAACTTTATCAGTCTTACCTCTAAACTTCTGTTTTCCCACTCTCACACTAAAACCAATCAATCGGCTATGATCATTATACAAGTCATGAGCTTCTTTCTCACTTCTTGCAGTCTTGCCAACTAATATAAAAACAGCAAAATCATTATTCTTCCTCATAGATGAAATTTCCTTGCGCAAGGCATCCTCCTCCACCATCACATTGTCAACTCCCAATTCATTGCTGCTATTTTCTTCTCCACATTCTGAGGAAAACAAAAGAGATTGTTGCATAATCATTATCAAGCAGTCGAATAATCAGTATTAACACAATGGATAAACAAATCAAAAAGAAATTTAAACACATATAAACAAGTTAGAAAACCTACACTTCAGAGCAGATGTAACTTCCATGCGCAAAGCATCATCCAGCATCACATCATCCCCCAACTCATTGATATGGTTATCTTTTACAAAAAATGAGACAAACAAAAAAACAAAAAATTAAAAAACAAATCTTTGATACACCAATTCAATATAAACAACTCAAAAATATTGGATATACAGTACAAATCAGTTGCATATCCATCAAATAAAATTTGCATAGGCATGTAAATCCGTTGGATAACCAGTACACATAAGCTGGACATCCAGTACAAATAAGTTGGATATCCAGTACAAACAAGTCGGATATTCATACAAATTTCATACAAGTTGGAAAACCAGCACAAAACGAGTAGGAAAACCAGTAAAACAAAAAAAAAAGTTTCATAATCAGTACTTCGCATCGTCTATCCATGTTCACCACAATCAACAAAAAGCATATCCGCATATCCGTCTAAATAACAAACGATATCCAACACAGCATAACTGCTTATCCACTTCATACAACATTAATAAAAACTATCAAAAGAAAAATCAAGAAAAATAAAATGAAACAACTAGATTGATTCTTCTCTCACAAACAGTACACTCCGAAACCTACACAAACCTGATTGCAGCGGATCAACAACAGAACTGTGACCTTGCGTTGATTTGCTGGCACAGTAAGATTGTTCGATGGATTTGCTACCACTACATTCCGCATTCATCAAGCCGGAATCCTCAACGAGATAACTCATCACTCGATCTGAACTCAGCATATCGTCAATCCAATCATCGTTTCGCCACTCTGGTGGAATCGGAGCCTTTTCTCGATCCCTGAACGCCGTCGCCGTCTCAAAGACTCGATCACCGCCGGCCGTGTCCATCTTAACGCCTCGATCGCCGATTCCCATTGCCGCCTGAATGCCTTGATCGCCGACTCCCATTGCGGCCTCAACACCTCGATCGCCGTCGGCCGTCGCTCAACAATAATACTCTATCACAAAGTTTTCAAAATTTGAATGAATTCGGTAATTTATATATGAGATACCCCCGGGTAAGTTTACTCATGCTATTATAAGAGAGTAAAGTACACGCGCAAGGGGTACACTGTACCCCCGGGTGTATCAGATAATTTGCCTTTTGATTGGTTTAAAAACTTTTGATGACATCAGTTTTTTTAAAAGAGGTTATAATCGCCATTACTTAATTGTAATGGTTTTTAAATTTTTTTCTGAACAAACACAAACTGGGAAGCTGTTGAGCGCCCTAATTTTTTCCTTTTAGCGCCCTAAAAAATTATATTTTGACCATTTTACCTTTATTATTATCTTTTTAAAAAAGAAGCGACTGGTGAAAAACATTTGCGCCAATCATGCCCGTTAAGGGTGGCGCCAATTTTCTCGCCTCCCAATTAAGGGAGACGAGAAAAATTTTGGTGCCCAAGATGGGGATGGCGCACAAATCTGGCGCCACCCCCCTCGGTTTGGCGAGCGTTTTGCTCGCCAAACCGAAATTATTTTTTTTTAATTTTTTCTATTTTTTAATTAATTAATTAATTTTATTTAATTCATTTATTTATTTAAGTTTATTTTTTATTTATCTATTTGGCGGTTGAACAAATAATTTTAACTTAAATAGTTGACTTTGTAATAGGGGGTAAATGGGAACCACTATTAATCCTTTTTTAAAAAGAAGAAAAAATATTAAAAAATTAAATAAATAAATAAAAGTATTTTATATTTTTCCATGCTTTTTAATTTTTCGTTTCAACGTATTTTATATTTTATATGTTTTTCCAAAAAAATATTTTCAGGACGGCTAGATGCACCGATGATAAATAATTAATTTGTTTGGTAGTAAATTCATAAGTTTTAGTTTTTATTAAATGATAATTTTTTGTTTACGCTTAAAAAATTTTACATAACTAAATGATAAATTTTTATAAAAATTTACTACGTAATTAAGTAACATTCTCCAAATATTTAAGTTAAAATTATTTTTTTAACCACCAAACAAATAAATAAAAAAATAAACTTTAATAAATAAACAAATTAAATAAATACATGAATTAAATAAATTAAATAAATACATAAATTAAATAAATTCATTAAACTAATAATTAAAATAAATAAAAGAAATTAATTAAATACATTAAAAAATAATTAATTAAATAAATTAAAAAATTTAAAAAAAGGTAATTAAGGTGGGTGGCGCTCAAAATGGCGCCACCCACCCTTTGGTTGGTGAGCAAACCAGCACAAATGTGGCGCCCTTCTGGGCGCCACACCTTCGCCATGCGGCGAAGGTTTTCTCGCCTCCAAAACAAAAACCCCTTCGCCATGCGGCGAAGGTTTTCTCGCCTCCAAAACAAAAACCTCCGAACAAGATTAAGAGCTTGAACGTCAAAACGATGTCGTTTTGACACCATTTAAAAGCAAAACCACCTTTCACTCCCGGTGTTCTCCCGTACATCTCCCTTAATTTCAGCGATTTTTTTGTGCTTATCTTTTTCTCTTCCGTTGTTAACCCAAATTTGGTAGAGCTGGAGTTGGAATAGGCAGATCACGCTGGAGGCATAGGCCGTCGAGTTTAGGTTGGAGGTGGTGGTGGTGGACTGGTGGTGTCGCTGGTGGAGGTTGTCCCGGTGGAGCTGCTTCAGTGGTGGAGGGGTAAAACCTACATCGGTGGAGGTTACCCGCTATGTCTCCGTAGTCTCGCTTAGCTGATTTTCGCCACGGAGTGATTTCATCGCCACTTTTCTCTCGGTAATGCTGTCTTCAATCTGGATCGGAATATGTATTTGCGATTTAGATCAGGTCTATTTTGATATTTGTCGTATTTGATGATTTTGGTTTTGTTGATTTTGAGTTCTGATTTGTTTATTCGTTGTGGTCTCCATCTGCTTCCTCTCTTTCTCTGATTTTTGGTTTTTTTTTTTTTTGTGCGAATTTGTGTTGAATACTTTTAGTTTAGCTTTAATCGCTTGATTATGTGATCGGATTTGTTCTGTTATTTATTTTCTCCGGTTTTGGTTAGTTTTAATAATCTTGTTTCGTCAGGATTTAGCAAGCTGGTTATATAAACATTTTTCAAAGGAATTATGATTAGCTCAAATATTCTTCCTTTTGTTGAAATTCAAGCATAAATTAAATTTGTTTGTTGTTGGTTTGGAAAAATGTCTAGCCTTCAATCTTTTGGGGCCCGATGAAGTCAATACACCTCTCTGGTCGTCAGTGTATTGTTTGGTTATGCCTTTTGTTTTAGAATATCTTCCAGGGTTTGCGATTCAGATCGAGATCCGGTTCGAGTCAAGAAGAAAATCCTTCAAGTTGTACTCTTCAATTGCTCAGCGCAACATGATTTTCTAGAAGAGTTTGGTGATGAGTCAGTGAAAGATGATGAAACGAAGGATAACGCCTCCAGTGGCTGCATATCCTCCACGCTTTGCTGCAACGAAGAGAGGGTCGAGGTAAGATTTAAATGCAGATGAAGTTGCCATTTCTTTTTGTTGATTGGTGTATTTCGAACTAAGTTAGAATATATAGCTATAGTTTCAAGATGGAGGTTTTGAGATATTAATACTTGAGTCTATCGGTTTTGTATTGTACTTTTTGGCATTAAGGGAAGAATATATAGATATTAATACACGGTGATTTTGAAGATTATGTGATTGAGGAGAAGGTCAGTTAGCCATGGGAAATGACCAATATCAATGATGCCGGGCCTGAATACCATATTACTGCCCAACGTGCCTAATTGCTACAATTTTTCAGCTTGTCCTCCTCATCAGTGTATCATAAATTTTGTGATTAAACTGTCGCAGTCATTTGAATCCTTTAATTTGGTGCTTGAATGATTCTTTTGATAGTTTATTTTGGTTCTCTTATAGTTAGATACTTTCTTTTGCATCATTGTACTGCTATAAGAAGAAAGTGTTTTGCTATGTAACGTGTTGAGAATGAGCTTCTCCTTGTTGAAAACTTATTAGCACTTATTCTGCCTGGACAACTTTTGCTTCCTATTTTTCCTTCTTGTGCCTTGTTTATCTAGAGCTTTGCAAACATTTAAGAAGTGACAGAGTTTGCGCAAGAAGTGACGAGAGATGATTTGGAAAAAGAAGTAGATGGATATGACAGCGGAGACGCTGATAAACATGAGACTTATGGATCTGTGGTTCAGGGCAAGGGAATGATTCCTGACAGTGAAGCCTCCTCTGTTAATGATGATTCTGCAAGAGCATCAGGGGATTTGGAGTTCAATCAGTATCTTGTAGAAGCTAATAGTCTCCTGAAAGCAGCTAAAGAATGTCTTTTGCAACAAGGTGATCATGAGACTGCTGACAACTACCTGTATAAGTCTGTGGGATTAGTGTTGAAAGTCAAAATCATAAGACCAATGAGCTTATTAGCAGCTGGCCAGTTGGGAAACACGTATCTCCTTCATCAAGAACTGAAATTAAGGCTCAGCCGTGATTTGAGAGCTTTAATAGCTACAAATAATCCAGCAACAATTGATGAATGGAATATTGATGATAACCTAATGTTCAGGAAGGACAAACTTTCATCTGCTCTTGTGAATGTCTGTAATGAATGTGAAGAGCTTCTTGTCACTGCAGGAAGAAATTATAAACTGGCCTTGTCAAGTGATGGAAATGACATGAAAGCCCTGTACAACTGGGCCTTGGCTCTTTTCTTCCGTGCACAGTTAATAGCTGATATTGGACCTATAAGCCATTGTTCTTGCTATGACTGTTTTTGTGAGTCAAATTGATTGAGGCTTAAATTTTACCGAGAAAAGTGCATTCTATAGCAAATCAATGTGATTGCAATTGAGTAGATTTATGTAACTTGTAGGATGCTGCTCATGATGCAGACAAGGTTTACTTGGCGGCAATTGATAAATTCGATGCCATGATGGCCAAAAGCAATACTTATGCACCAGATGGTATGATACACTGCAGTCAATAATATTCTAAATGATTTAATGGTCATAATCCTTTTTTCTCAATTCAGGATCAATTGAATTTGTCTAGTTTACTTTCGGAGTAAGAATAGAATTTCATTGACAAAAATATCTAACAAGAAATTTTTCATTATGCTCTGAAGAATACTTCATTTGTTTCATTTCATGATTTGGAGCTGGGTGTAGTTACTCAAACGTTGGCTGAGATTACATATGCAATAGTGGCAAAGGAGACGACTTAAGAAGATTTCCAAAGTAAAAAAGACAATATATTTAAGTTTACATGTAAATCTATTTTGATAGATCATGATGAAAAATATGATTTATTTAGTTGATGATGCGTATTGAGTCCTTAGTTGTTGTTTGTATTTCATGGATTTTCTTTTGAAGTTCTGTGAGTTTCAGCTCTTTTCAGATGGGGTACTACACTACAACAAAGATCTCGCCTGCGGCCGGGGAATAACAAAGAGAAGGTGAAGTTATTGCAGCAAGCTAGAAGGCTCTATGAAGATGCACTTAATTTTGATTATGATAATATCCGAGTTCGAGAAGCTTAGTCTTCATGTGTGTCAGAGCTGGAGTATTGGTTTGATTAGCAATCTATGTGTAATCCTTGTTGAAGGACATTATGTCGAGGTACATATATTTTCCCGAAAGTAAGATTTTTCTTTCTTCCTTACTCTGTCAATGTATATGCATATATGTAATTTATTGAATGCTAAACCGGGGAAACTGGTTCTCAATTGTTTAGGTCTTTAAGACGGCATGCCAGTCTTGTTACGACTTCCTTGCTGCTATTACCATTTTCTAAATGTCTGTGCTGAATTTTCAGATTTATGCTGCCAATAGGAGAGCTGGAGAACATATAAAAGACTTTGCAACTGCTTTCGGGTTGTCAACGATGACCAAGTTTGTATGCTTGCTTTACTCTGGCTTGATTAGTATTTTCATTTTGGTTCTGTAGACTTGGTATACTTGTTTCTTTTCCTTTCTGCAGGTCTCCAAAATAAGAACAAAGAGTCAAAGATGTTTAAAATTGGAGAAGATGCCGCTCAAACAAGTTTGCTACGAATCAAGTAATAAGGAGAAACATCCCTGGAGGATGAAGATCATGCTAAAGAATTGTTGTGCGAGAAGAGGTAAAAGAAAATAATATATGGTGAAATTTTCCAGAGTAGGAAATTCAAAGAAATCAATGTCATTCTTGAATGACTTTGTACTGACTGACTTAACCCTTTGTGTTAAAGTAGATTTTGAGTCGGTAAGTTTTTCAACCCCATACACATAAAGCTTCTCCATAATTAGCATTGTGCTAATTCTTGCTCACACATCACATCATCCTCCCTTGCTATGACTAAATTAAATCGCAAATATTTTGTTTGCCAATTCATACAAGATTCTTCCATTCTCGTCCTAAATATAATTTCATAAAGTCAATCAATAAGGTGTTTTTCTATGCACAAAAAGGGTATATTCACTCTTGAAATAAGATCATAAAGTACAAGAATGATTTGTAAGCCGTTTGTAAAAGGAAATAGAAAGTTGCAGCAACACTCTTTAGCCCATTTATATTTGTAAGCCATTTGTAAAATATCTGTTGATTTTGCATCAATAAAAACTTCTTGTTATTGTATGCTCGAGTTGGTGTCAAAATTAATATATAATATATTAATAGGAATATAAACTGGTTGCGCAACGCTTGACTACAAACCATCTAGTATAAATAAGTTACATACATAAGTTCTGAAATTAATCTGTCAGTTCCATAAACCCTAATTATAATCCAGAGAACTAGCCGTCATGCCTTATGTCTGTTCCCAAGAATTGTTCGTGTGGATACCGTTAGAGGTTGGACACTTGAACAGTTTTGTGATCAAGTTTCACCATGTGTTGATCGTGATTGCTGGATTAGCTGTTAAAGGTACACAATTCTGAACGGTTTATATTATTCATAGATTACAAAGTGATCTTAGTGTGAAATCAGTCTATGTTTATTCTGCTGTGTTAGGATTGATTTACTTACATTTTTTTGTTTTGTTAAGTTATGGCTTTATATTTTTTTAAAGGTATTCTCTTTATTTTTTATAATGATCTCTCTAAAGATTTTTATCATGTTATATATCTTTTAAACTCTCCCTGTAACATAAATTTTCTTATTATTTCTTTTCATAAACTTATCTTAATTTTTCATCTCTCTAATATCCCTTTTGTAACTTTTTTTTCAGAAGTTTGTTCGAATATTTTTCCTACAATATAGTGTCTACTTCATTTTTTTTCCTTGGTTAAATACTCTTCACTTTCTTTCTTTTTTCTAAATTTAATGCCTCTATTTAAATGTTCACTTCTTGAAAAATTTTATAATAATGATTTTATTTTTCACTATTGTCTTGATTTCTGTTTCAAATTTCCTTATTCGTTACATAATTTTTTCCTCCAGATAATTATTTTCAATGTCTCAATATGTTTTTCTTTTAATATTTATCTCTCACAAATATCTTTATTCTTTTCTCATTTAGGAGATTAAACTTACTTTTATTGATCTTTACGTTTTATTGTATCATCATAACATTACCTTTTTCAACTATTATATATAGAAAAAATTATAATAACACTTAACTACGATGAAACAATTTGACAATAACAAAGTACTATCAATAACATTATTCAAAAAAAAACTAATGGGACAACTTGAAATTACTTATACATCATTTATCAGTATATACATATATATATATATATATATACCCTCATGCTTTATGTATTTTGTTCATAATAATGTTTAATATCCTTTTTAAATTTATATTCCTTGATTTTTTTCAAATAATGTATTTTTCTCTTGCTCTATTCGTACCATTCTTCTATACATAAGTAAATGTCTCTTGTTGAGTTTAGAATCTTGAACGTGATTGGTTAAAAATTAAATTGAACATTCTGATTGGCACATTAGTTCATATGACATCATCAATTTGAAATTGAGCCATTTGATTGATTAATATATTAACATGGCATAAGTAATTTAAAATAAGAATATGATGGTCAATTAATAAATTTGATTTTTTTTTTTGCCAACCAAAATATGTCATTAGCCGATGGAGGGAGCATCGATTGTTTTCCTTTTCAAAGAGGGAAAATCGACATTATTTCCTTTACATCCATTAATTTGGATATAATTTTTTAGTTTCTACGCATATTCTAGATTTTAATAGTAATCTCATTCAAGAGTGAACATCATAATCTTTTCAGAGTGGAGAAAATAATTCGCCTATTATTTGATAAAAGTATATATGCCAATTCTTATATTTTTACATCCCAAGAACAAACGGGGAAAGATCAATACAGGTCTACTAATGATTAAGAACACCCCCGGAAAGAAGAAATCAGATTGACGGAACAAGCTGAAAACCCAAATACCTCACATCTATGCTACATAAGTGACGTGAGAACATGGTTTCTTTTTCTTTTTTTTCCCGCATCGCATTTGCTAAATTTCTGTGCTAATTAACATGTTGCTTACATTCATTGAGTCTTGAATCATAAATTCAGAAGCATATGGAACATTGAATATCCGAAATGCTGCTGACATGAGTGTAATACGTGTTGCTAAGCTAAAGAAAAGATTAGGTTTCGGAATGTGGACAAAAATTTGAGTTGATAGAATTGGTTGGTTCAGAAATTTGAGTTGGGGGAAGATGGTTGATTCTCTATTTCTTTGTTCAGAATAGCTTTGTTGATGGGAAAGGCTTCTACTCATCTCATTCATTCAGCAAGAAAAAGACAATCATCTTTAAGTAGTTTCACGGCTCTTGCTTGTGATTTGTTTGGATTTGGTTTTTTTTTTCTTTAACACTAAACAATGTATTTTTAGGAAACAATTTTTATTTGCTTCACCTGTAAATTTTGGCACGTGAATGAAAAAATTCAAATAATATGACCACTTGAAAACATGTTCTTATTGGCATGATCACCCAAAATGGTCGCACCTAGCACGACGGAAAAAGAACTAGTACATTTAATAATGGTATAGAGTATTTATTCTCTTAACTACGATGAAACAATTTTAGTTTTAGAGAACTGGAAATAAACATCTTGTTTTTTTAATCTAGACGTTTAATATTATAATGAGTAAAATAATTTATATATTTGTTTCTTATAATTTTTGTCAGATTTCAAATTTCAATTACATGTTGAGGAGGAGAAGAGCTTTCGTGGCCTGTGATTTTAGCGGAAACGTAGAACTATTGAAATGGCATCCTATCAAAAAGATGGATGAATTTTTGGGCTAATGAGAATAAAATGAGAATTTGAAGAACATAAATAAAATAAAGAAATTTAAAAATCTCTTAAGACTACATTGTAATTAATTGACATCAAAACAAAAACAAAAGGTAGGTACCATATTTATAAACTCTTTAAACTAATGGTGAGAAGTTTCACCTCAGCAAAACAATCCATATTAATGATCACACCAATTTTCCTTCTATGGGAAATTTGGAAGTTACAAAATGGAGTCATCCATGATGGAATTAATTTTTCTTTGAATGTTTTGAAAAAAAGAGGTTCTGCCTAATATTTCGAATATGTTGAGTGTACATGATTTGCAGGCCAGGACTTTGGAAGAGCACAAAGAGATAGAATATTTATTCAGAGTGAAGGTGTGGAAGCCAAAAAGAAAAAAGACAGAGATATTAAGATGGATTCCTCCGGATCCAGGGCAAGTGGTACTAAATACAGATGGATCGGCTTTTATACAACCAGGGCATGCAGGATGGGGATATGTGGTCCGAGGGGAGCGAGGTAATTTTAAGTTTACTAAATGCAACTACATGGGAATTGCTACACGCTTTGAAGTGGAGCTAGCTGGAATTTATCATGGTCTCAAAGCGTACGAGTAACAAGGGCTTTATCATGTGATAATTCAATTGGATAATGTTAGCATTGTTACTTTATTACAGAAAGGAAAAGACTATACCTAGAAGCACTATGTGACCCTAAAACAAGTTAGGCAAATGATGAACCTTACAAACTCAAAAATTGTCCATATTTATCGAGAGGTAAATAGTGTCGCAGATGAACTTGCCAAAAATGCCTCATTGGGAACCACATTGCACTATCATTCTCAACATACTCTGTCATCTTCATTGAGAGGTAAGATTTACTTAGACAAGAATAATTTTTCATATGTGAGAGTTAGATAATTTTATAGAATAGTAAAGGATAAAGAAAGAGATGTCATGAGATTTATGTTTTCAAATCTTTGTACGACATTCTCTTAGTATAGATTTTTCTTTCAAACTATCAAGAACAGCAGGGGATAGTTTAGAACTATCTTTGTAAGTCAGTTCATACATGTACTTTGTTAGAGAACCGTCATGGAGTTTTTAGATAAACTTTCTGTAAGACGGTCTCTTTTGACTTGGGTAAGTCTTAAGCACTGCTTTTTTGTAATTTTTTTCTTTATATTAATAAAATCGGGGAATGCCCGCCACGTACCACCCTGGTTCTCTTAGGAAAAAAAAACTCTCTAAACTAATAGATAAATGTTACAGAATGTGCATTCTGGTTCATAGAAAGTGCATTCTGCTTCACACAATGTGCATCCTGGATCACAGGAATCTACTGTTGCAGCTGCATCCACATGCGATCATCAACTCCTTGATGCGTCCTTGTGCAACACGCCTATACGAGAGAGATACTGGGAACAAAGCCACCTCAGCAATAATATTGATTTTGGATAGATGGCTAGGATCAATTGTACAGAATTAATTACAGCCCTTAGATTTCTTGTACATTAGGTCAGTTGTAAGCATGTATATATATGTTAGTCAGGACCATGAGCTGTATAGAACATAATACAAAACAAAATATCTTTCCAGAAACTTCTCAATTTTTTTCCCCTTTTTCTGATTCAAACCCTAAGAATTCACTGCTATGATTTCTTGCGATTTCTTTATGATGATCATCTTTTGTTTGATGGTGTCAGAGCAGGTCTGATCCTGCTATGTATTCCGCTGCATAAGATTCTTGAATTTTGCCTACGATTTACGAAGTTAATTCTTGAGATTTTCAACTGAGTATTACTATTTTAGATTTCTAAGTTTATTTTTGGTTTTCTAATCTTGATTCTTGCTAAGAATTAGTGTGATTACAAATACAATGGATGACAGACGTGAAATTCATGGAGGAATAGAGGAATACATAGATCAAGAAGCTTCAATTGAGATTCAACTTCAGGTTCATGGATTAGAGAATCCTAGCACGCCTTTGGTATCGGTATTGTTGAATGACAAGAATTACTTGATTTGGAAGGGAGCGATGCTTTCAGCGTTGGAGGCAAAGCTCAAGGATGGATTTGTGACAGGAACTTTACCTAAACCGCCAGTGAATTCACCAAGATTTGCCAGATGGAAGCAAGCGAACACCTTAGTTTGTTCATGGATCAAGAGCTCAATGTCGCCTGACATAGCGAATACTTTTGCTTTCATCTATGATGCAAGAACTCTTTGGAACGACATAGCAGAGCAGTATGGAACAACTAATCTCCCTCAGCTGTTTGAGATAAAGCGTGAAATAGCTTTGGTAAGACAAAGAGATTCAAGTGTGGCAGCCTACTATGGACGTTTGAAGCAACTCTGGGATCAGTATACACAGTTGACGCCAATTCCAATTGTTGATCATTAGACTGGAGAATTGATGATAACCAGGGAGGCAGAGGATAAAGGAATGGAGTTTCTTATGGGTTTAAATGAGGTCTATAAAAGAGACGGGGGCAACATATTGCTCATGGATCCTATGACGCCTGTTAATCATATCTATAACATGATTTTGACAACTGAGATACACAGACAAGTGAGTACTAGTATGGCTCTGCCAATTGAGAACAGTGCTCTGGTGGCCAAAACAATTGATTGGAAGAAGCCTGGGATGTCTATCACAGGATATAGAGGGAATGTCACCACTGGTGGATATCAAAAGAGAGATAAGAGCAAGCTGTTTTGTACACATTGTAACAGACCTGGACATATCAAGGAGGAGTGCTTTAAGCTGACTGGAATTCCAGAATGGTATCATGAGTACAAGAACAAGTTACAACAGCAGCAACCTACAGGAATGAACAATATGACTACTGGAATGAACAATGTGAGCAATATGGTGATAGTTGGGGAGACTCCTCTAGACACTACATCAGATAATAATGGGGACTTGCATATGGTGATCTCTGGTGCAGTGCAAAAGGAGCTTGAGAAAATTCTAAACGGCAAGGGGATAGCAGGCAATGCAGGATTAGCATCAATGAACTATGCTCATTTTGACAGCTTTGCAGGTAGTTCTTGTCTCTCAAAACTGAGTTCTATATCACCTGAATTAATAAGCCCTGGTTCTTGGATTACTGATAGTGGTGCAATTAAACATATGTGTGTAGACCTAGCCCTTATGAGTCATAAACATCCTGTTTCAGCTTTTACATCTGTTTGGTTGCCTGATGGTAGCATCTGTTTGGTTGCCTGATGGTAGCATTTTCATGTTGGTGATGTGATTTTGTCTGAAACTGTAACCCTTACTTCCTGCCTACACTTGCCAAATTTTAAGTACAATATTCTTTCAGTAAGACAATTAGCTAGAGTAATCATTTTTACTTCAAGTTCTTTACTGATTTCTGCTGACTACAGGACCTTAAAACCAACAAGGTTCTTGCAGTAGGAAGGGTCATCAAAGAACTTTACATCCTTGATCATTAATCATTTACTCCAGAAGCCATTTTGAAGTCTCAAAGTTAGTTTGCTGCCTACATGATTCACATTAGAGATCCAGAAGTAACAATTTCATTAGAAACAGTCAACCATTTTCTTTTCATCAGCAGAACCTGAATACGAGGCCATGGCTACAAGTGTTCGAGAACTCCAATGGATTGCTTATCTTCTTCATGACTTTCAGGTTGTTGTTTCTCTTCCAATCCCCTTTTGGTGTGACAACCAGGCAACTTTGTATATCACCATGAATCCCGTGTTTCATGAAAGAATAAAACACATAGAGATCGACTGCCATGTGGTACGGGATAAATTCAAAGAAGGCTTCATTTTACCACAACATATCTCTACTTCTTGTCAGTTGGCTGACATCTTCACCAAGCCTCTTGGAGTTGGTCCCTTTCATTCTATTCTGTCCAAGATGAGCCTTTCTCATGCTTATATTGCGGGGGAAGTGTTACAGAATGTGCATTCTGATTCACAAAAAATCCATTCTGGTTCACATAATGTGCATCCTGGTTCACATGAATCTACTGTTGCAGCTGCATCCACATGCGATCATCAACTCTTTGATGCGTCCTTCCGCAACACTCCTATACGGGAGAGATACTAGGAACGAAGCCACCTCAGTAATAATATTGATTTTGAATAGATGGCTAGAATCAATGGTACAGAATTAATTATAGCCCTTAGATTTCATACTTGTACATTAAGTCGGTTGTAAGTATGTATATATATGTTAGTAAGGACCATGAGCTGTATAGAATATAATACAACACAAAATATCTTTCCAGAAACTTCTCTCCGATTTCCCCCTTTTTCTGATTCAAACCCTAAGAACTCGCTGCTATGATTTCTTGCAATTTCTTTATGATGATGATCTTTTGTTTGAATAAATACCACTCATGATTAAAAACTCTAACCTATCAACTAATTAATAAAAATTATCACTAAGTAGGATTGATATGACTACATGTACTCAAACTCCTCTTGATCATTATCTTTAACATCCTCCTTCAAACTGAATCAGGGTTGGAGACGCAGTTTGTTTCGACTGTGTTAACGACATCTTATCTTCATGGGGCGGTGAAAAACCTTCTTGTGGACCATTATTGACTTTCAATCTTGAGTGATTTTGGCCATGTTTTGGACAAATGGCTTGAAATTTAGTGTTAGATTTTTGTATGACAATTCAAAATTCCTCTTTTGAGAGAAAATGATATTTTTGCATAATGAAAAATTTTTGGGGATTGTTAGATGTTGTATGACAAGTCAAAACCCTTCTTTTAAGGGAAGATTAGACGTTTGTCATAATGAAATTTTGTGGATTGACTCAGAGGTGACTTTCCTCTTTGTCTGAAATTTGTGGATCGACTAAAGTTGATTTGTGGGGAAAAAAATTGTAGATTGACTCATAGGTGACTTTCCTCATTGTTTGAAATTTGTGGATCAACTAAAGTTGATTTGTGAAAAAAAAGTTGTAGTTCAACTGAATCGATTTGTGAGAGATTTATAAGTATTGTGGACATTGTTCGGAAAATCAAACAGGAGTTTGGGACTAGTAGTAGAAGAGGAGTGATTTGGGATGAATTTAGAGTTGATACATGCCACAATTGTTAATATTCATGAATGAATTAATCATGATTTATTTGTTGAAAGAAAATACAAGCGGAAATATAACACAGAAGTAGGGCGGAACCTGCTCTGAAACCAAAAAGAAAATGAAAATTTGAAGAACATAAATAAAATTAAGAAATTTAACAGGAAAAATCTCTGAATATTACATCGGGATTAATTGACATAAAAAAAAAAGGTACGTACTATTAATAAAAACTCTAAACTAATAGATAAATACCACTATTAATAAAAACTCTAACCTATCAACTAACCTATCAACTAATTAGTAGAAATTATCATTAAGTATGATTGATATGATAACATGTACTCAAACTCCTCTCGATCATTATTTTTAACATTATGCTCCTCAGCTTGATTTTGAAGCTTTCGCTTCATTCATCAAGCAAATAAAGAGGACCAAGCCAACACCGAAGCTGATGTCAAGAGATGAATGTGATGCATTGCAAAGTTATTGGGAGGGAGAGACTTAAATTTATATTCAATCCACGAACAAATTGCTGCAATCCCACAAAACTTTGGTGTTGGATGGATTCAGGATTTGTTGTTATTTGGATTTTTTCTTTTAGACATAGATTGATTTTAATCTAGATTATCTACGTATATAAATTGAAAAATAAAGTTATTTTTAGAAAAAAAATTCTTATTATTTTCTTCAATGATAAAAAAAATAAATAAATAAACCGAGAAAAATTGGTTATTTGTAGATTTTACATATTTATAAATAAAAAATTACAAATAAATGATAGATTGATGTGGTTACGACTTGTGGACTTGCCTATTTAATTTTGAGCCATGTGAATTAATAAAAAAAAATTAAATTGGATAAACTTAGTTATTTACAAATTTTACGGATTTATTAATAAAATACGATATAGATTGGTGAATATGTGATGGTTTAGTGTCACGAGCTGACAAGAAAGAGCGGGAAGTTTGAATGGTCAAAATTGGAGATTTAATTTGGGAATTAGGTCAATCAGCAAGGGACGACGCCGTTTGATTTTATTGGTGTTTTAAGTTAATTTTCAGTAAATAGGAAGCTTCCTGGAAGTTGTTCTTCTTAAGCAGTTTCGAAGCAATTTCCTTAGTTTGTCTTGTAGTAAAGATATTTCCTATGTAAGCTGGATTTTCGCAGAAGCCAGCATTATGAGAATTATAAAAATTTTATCTACTTCCTTAATTTACCCTCTCTCCAAGAATCTTTCTTTTTCTCCTTTATGCTAATTTTTATCTAATCCTCCGTTTCTGCTTTATGTTTGAAAAGAAATATCCAAGTACATCGACTGTGATCATCAACTATGGTCAGAAACTAATGATAACCAGAAGAGTAGATTGTTTATATGGCTCCCATACATCTATGTGAATCAAGTCAAAACACTTGTCACTTTGAATACTGCTGTGAGAAAAAGGAATTCTAGTCTGTTTGGCTAAGGGAAATATCTCACACTTTCTTACCAAACTAACATCCTTATTACAAACAGAAAGATGGTTCATTACACCTTATGATGGATGACCTAATCTAGAGTGTAAAACATTATATGAAACAGCTGAGTAGACTTGAACATCAGCTGTGAGTGATAGCTTGGAATGAAAATTTTTGCTGTTAGCAGTAGAATGAGTGATGATTGGATTACGGATATGAATCATGTAGGCTGCAAATTGAGCTTGGGACTGTTGAATGGCTTGTGCTGTGTGAAAGAAAATGAATCAAGAACATAGAGTTCCTTGATGACCCTTCCTGCTGCAAGAACCTTGTTTGTTCTAAGGTCCTGTAGCAGCAGACAGAAATCAACAAAGAATTTGAAGTAAAGGTTATTTACTTTAGCAAGTTGTCTTACTGAAAGTAAATATACTTGAAATTTGGTAAAAAAAAGACAAGAGGTTAAAGTGACTAAATTGGACAAAATTACATCTCCAATATGTGAAACTGAGCTGATGCTTCTATCAGGGAGCCAAACGGGGGTAAAAAGAGAGACATGTTTGGTATTAATCATAAGAGAAAGATCAGTAGACATGTGTCTGGTAGCACCACTATCAGAAACCCAAGAACCAGGCCTTATACAATCAGAAGGTAAATTATTGAGTTTAGTTAAGCAAGAGCTACCTGCAAAAGCATCAAAATGGGCAAAGTTCACCATTGATCCACCACTGCTTTCTGCTGGTGCTTTCCCTTTAAGAATCCGTCCCACTTCTCTTTGCACTGCATTAGAAATAACCATCTGTAAATCATCTGTTTCTCCTTGTGTTGGCTGAGACTGCTCCAGTGGAGTTTCTTCCGTAGAAACCATATTTGCTAAGCTATTGTTTTGCTGTGACTGTAGCTTCTTCTTATATTCATCCCACCAGCTTGAAGCATCCATCCTTAATGTGTCCCGTTCTGTTACAATATGTGCAAAACAAAGCACTCTTATCTTGTTTCTGATATGTGCCTCCTCTATATCATGTGTTGCTTCCTGCAATTCTGGCATTGCTCGTCATTGATTTCATATCAGGTGGTTTTGTTAGGACCAGGTTTGTATACAGGTGGCCTTCTCCAATCTGTGGTTTTAGCTATCATTGATGCATTCTCTTGAGATATAGACATTCTTGTACTGACTTGCCTATGTTTCTTAGTTGTAAGTATCATGTTATAAATCTAATTGACTGAGGGCAAAGGATCCATGGGCAAGATGTTACTCCTTTCCTTCTCATACATGTCATGCAATCCTATCAGAAATTCCATTCCCTTATCCTCTGCCTCCCTAGTAATCACCAATCTACCAAGATCACTATCCACCACAGGAGTTGACCTTAATTGTGCATATTGATCCCACAACTGCTTAATTCTACCATAATAGTTTGCCACAGATGAGTCTCCCTGTCTTATTAAAGCAATTTCTCGTTTGATCTCAAAAAGTTGAGGTAAATTAGTGGTACCATACTGTTCTTCAATATCCTTCCACCAAGTTCTAGCATCATAGATAAAGGAAAAGGTGTTTACCAGATATGGTGAGATCGAACTTTTGATCCAAGAGCAAACAAGACTGTTAGCTTGTTTCCATCGAGCAAACTGTGGTGAATTTTCCTGCGGTTTCAGCAAGTTCCCTGTCACGAAACCATCTTTCATTTTAGCTTCTCGTTAAGCAA